GCCCCCAGCCTCTGGCTTCATACCACCACCAACATATTTTGCTCCTATAATTAAAAGCTCAGCTGGAACTTGCTCTCTATAAATGGGGTTTTGTTTACCATGCTTCTAAGGAGAAGGGGGTGTGAGTACAAGGTTTCTACAGACAAAGCCTGCTGCTTTCAGCTGTATCATTCCTCCCCAGTGTTGAACCTGGAATGTAGTCAGGACCCCAAATATTTCACATCTCCAAACACCCTATCCTGATTAAAAACAATGGTCATTTTGTTTTCAGGAAAGATTACACCTGATAAATTTTTGCTAAGTCTTAGTAAAATGCGTGAATGCTTTCACACCTGCAGATTTGGGGGGGTGGGGGGAGTATGTGCTGCTTTTATTTTAGTTCACCTGCATCAAATAAGCTCTAGTAACAAGGCAATGCTCCCTGGCAGACTCCACTAGCATCAAGGGGAGGTACCCAACAAAGCCCAACCCCAGGGAACAGCCTACTATGCCAATCAAGGAAAAAAATGGCACCATTCTTGGCCTTCCCAAAAGTGACAACTCACCTGGAGACTATTTCAACTCTTAACGGTTCCAATACCAGAAAGGTTCCATAACTGGTTAAAAAAAAATTCCAAATTATTTTCTATAGAAATCAAACATACTACCTATATGAACAGAATACGGTAATGACAGGTTTTACAATGCATATTGATCTGGGGATAAAAACAGTCATTCGCACTTACTTGGGTCAGTTATAATTATTTGGGAGGTTTTTTGGTTTTGTTATTGTTATTTGTTTTTAGTTTTTTGACACGCTAAATGAATTTGCCACAAGCAAATATAGTCAAACAAAATGGAAATGGCAGAAGCATTTGGAAGACCCGCTGGAATAAGCCAAACAGGTTCACATAGGATCTCTGAGGCCAGCCTTCTATCTCCTCCACTACACACTACTAGTTCCCCAAAAGGGCTCAAAGCTCTTTCTCAAAAACCAGGAGACCTCCAATGTGTTGCTTTAATTCAGCATGACGAACAGAACCAGTCTTTAATGTACTCTTTTTGCTCTTAAGAGCCAACCACACCCATAGCCTGACCTCTGAAGACCCCCCAAAACCACTCCCAGCCTCATCCCCTACTACCTAAACAAACCCTTGAGCCCCATGCCACATTTTTTAATTCTTGACCCCAACCCTAGTAAAGACATTCTGATCCTCCTTGAGGCCCCAAGATCCTTGACCATTAATGATCTCTTCCTCAATTTCCACTCTGCTCTCCACTCTCAACCACAAAAGTGCCTGTTTCTATTCCTCCAAATAAGTGTATACCACTTATCTTCTCAAAGACCATGTAAGCTCTTTGAAAGGCAGCTACATCTCATACAACTTTCATCCCTCTCATGGGTCTCTGAACATCCAGACACTCCAATCAGTCTCTCTCTTCAACTCCTACAAAAGGGAGTTGGCTCAGTCAAGCATCCCTTGGACCTGTGAGCTTCTTCTTTGCCTCCTCTGCTATACAGAAAAAGTAACACCAATCTCCCCACTCTTCTGCCCTAAGAGTTGAATCCCAATAGCATACTCAGCCCATGCTCTCATCAGCACCATGGTTAGCCTGCCATCTATCAAGAACCAGATCAACCCTCCTCATCATCAGATGGTCAAGCTCTCCTTGAAGCTGGGACATTGAGCTGACTGCACCCAGCACTAAGCAGCTTCCATACCCCCCTGACAAGGTCACCCAGAGAACTAATGCAAGGTAGACATGAGTCGGTGGCTCTAAAAGAAGTTAGCGTCAGAAGCCTGAATTTCCAAAGCCCAGAAGCAGAGAGCCCCAATGTTTCTGTTTAATGTCCTGCTCCATCACACTCTACCTAGATACCTAACCCTAAACCTTTCCCTGTCCATCAGCTGATAAGAATTCAGCAGCCAGCATATCTGCCCTGCAGGGCAACTTTCTAACCAGCCTTCAATAAAGATCCCAGGAATTCAAAGCCCAGGGCTGAAAAACAAGTCACAATTTCCCACATATAACTATATGCATTTCCTAAGAACTCAAAACAGATAGGATGAAGGTTCAGGGAGCAAAAGGAGGAGAAAACCTCACATGGGTTTGTCTCCCCTTCAATTAAGGCAGCAGAGGTCCCAAGAAGCATGTTAAAACTCTCTTGGCCGCCCTGCAGTTTTCAGATCAGCAGATAAACAGAACTAACCCTCTGTCTGCAGGAAGCCCAGCCTGCCCTGCCTGAGCACATAGGATTCCAGGGATCCCAACTGGCAGAAACCTTAAGTCTGTCTCATCTGTCTCTAAACTGCTCTCAGGATTAACAGGAAGACTTGATCAATACCGATTTTACCGTCATGGGAGTGACTCACCACAAAATTCTACCCAGCTTAAAGCTCAGCTGTGAACAGAAACAAAACAACATAATAGCAGGGTCAGATTTAAAATAGCAAGTATGACTGGTAAACAGTTAATGCTTATAAACAATTAGCAATCACCTCCCCAGCCTTCTGGATTTGCTGGAGAGGAAGAAGTACCGTTTTACTGGCTCTGAAGGGAGTGCCACTGGCAGGTCTGTCTTCTGTTGCAATCCCTTCCAACACACTGAAGCTGGTGTCAGCTTCACGAAATAGACCCTGGAGAAGGATGGAGATGAGCCACTTTGACCAAATTCCACAGGTCAGATAAGAGCTTGCTCACCCAGGTGGGGATAAAGAAGGAATGTATTTACATGGAACTGAGCTTTCAAAAAATGAAAGTTAAACTCCCAGGGAGCATAATTTCCCTCTACGTAGCTCCTGCAGAGTTTAAAATAAGCAACTTATTTGTCCTAAGATGGGGGAATGAAGTCATGTGAAATTTCTCAATAACTGTCTCTCAAACTACATCTGCTTCAAGAAAAACAACAGGGTGCACAGAAAATGAACTACACATTTAAAACATTTGGTTGAGAAGGCAAATGTATGTGCTCAGTGGCATCCTGAAAACACAGTCATCTGTCTGTTGATATTCATGGAGAGGTTGGTTCCACCACCCTTTGCAGACACCAAAATCTCAAGTCCCCTACATAAAAACCTGCAGAATCTTCACAGAACGTACTCACATTCTCCCTTATATTCTTCCACATACCTTAAATCATGTCTAGATGACTGACAATACCTAACAATGTACACAGCTGTTATACTGTACTGTTTAGGGACTAATGACAAGAGTAAAAAAAGAAATCTGTATCTGTTTAGTACACGCACTATTTTCCCAAAAAATATTTTTGACCTATGGCTGGTTGAATCCATGAGTGTCGATTTCACAGATATGAAGGGCTGACTGTACTTTTTAGGTACTGGATTCCACTTAACCTTTTAAATTAATCTATAACCAACTCTTAGACTTTGCCAAGAACTTACATATAAACCAAGTCCTGACCTTGATAATTTTTAACAACAGCATATCACTGTTATTATGGACTGCATGACCGTGTCCCCGAAAAATTCATGTGGGAGCCCCAACCCCAAGATGGTATTAGAAAGAAGAGCCTTAGCGACATGATTAGGTTTAGAAGAGGTCATGAGGGAAGCACCCCAGTGACGGGATCAGTGCCTCACGTGAATAAAAGCCGACCCTAGCTCTCTCTGCCAGATGACAATATGGCAAGAAGACATTTGCCAACTGTGAGACAATAAACAGACTTCCCCAGAAAACTATATCAGTTGGCACCTTCATCTTAGATATTAAGCCTTCACATCTGTGAAAAATAAATGTCTTCTTTAAGCCATCCAGCCTATAACAATTTGTAATGGCAGCCCCAGCTGGCCAAGACATTCATACAGCCCTGTAAGTAGGCATCACCAACCCAGAGAACAGGACTGCCTCCCCTGGTCACCTGAAACCTCCTGCAGGACAGCCATGCAAATAAGCACACAAATAGAGAAAACAGTTCTATGAGGACCAAGGAAAGAGGTCACTCAGGTTTGAGAAATGCCAGTCTAACTTCCACGCACAATTAGCAGCCAGCAGCCAGTTTCCTCCCATAGTCCCAGACCAAAAAGAGCTATGGTCAGATGGGGTGGAGAAAGCTCCTTCACAGACAGACAGGCTCAGCTACCTTGCAGTCTTGCTTGGAATACAGCAGGTCCAGGCCTGAGCCTGGTGCCTTGTTAAACTAGAGTATGACAACCATGTACAAAGGGCTGGCCCCACAGAGTTTGTGCAGCAATGGTGTTGAGGCAACCCTGGCCTTCAATATGCACCATGTGTCCTGTGACCTCAAGCAACACATGCCTGGAAGATCCCTCTGGTTCCTCACCTGTAAAGCAAAGCTTCCGGCCAGTTTCTACTTCCAGACACTCACATTCTTGCCTACAGTGGTCAATTCCTTCTTTCAGGACTTCCTAGGTGATGGGAGAAGTCCAATTTGCAATTGCAATTAGAAAAAAATTGAGCCATCAAAACAAATGAAAAACTTCCAGTTATAATCAGGGAGGGAGGGAACCAAGTATCTAAACAAAATCTCTCTTCTGGAAAAATGAGTAAAATGAAAAAGCAATTATATATCACATGGCTGATTAGCAATAAAATTTCATCTGT